GAATTCCTTGAAGACAAATGAAAGGGAAAATCTTGTTTATTACTTCATTTCTTTTAAGGATTTGATCTTTGTCACTCAGTTGAAAAGAGCCTTAGGTTATTCTCTCTGTGCTGGGAATAGAATCTTAGCTTCTTCATTAAGGGTAATTTGCAAGAACACTCTTCACTGTTTACTTTTCTCTGGGTATGGATGGTTTTTGTCAAACTGACTCAGCTGAATTTTCATAAATGGACGATTGTTTCGATCCGAATTTATCAATATACAACTTGTTTTTGGTGCTGAATGTCTGATGAAATCAGATTTCTATTTCTGTTCTTTTGATGTCATTGACTTATCATGTTATCAACAAAAAGTAAATATATAAATATATTTTTACTTCCTACAAATATTTTTATGTAATGACTTTTGAATTATTTCACATGTTTTAACTTAAATGTTAATTTATGATATTGTTAATCAAATAAAAAAATTAATATTATTGTGTTAAAATGATTATATTTATTATTTTTTAAAATTTAAAGATAAAAATATACTTAAGTTTAAGATAAAAATAAATTTTAATTTTGCTTCCAAATAATGGACTAAATTCATATTTAAACTTTTGTTTTTAGACTTGTGTTTATTTATTTAGCTGTATCCTTGCTTGTGTCCACAGAATAGCTTCAGGTACATTACAATTTAGTAAATCCTAGCTCCCGTGGAACCAATTACATGGATGGAATAAAATATAATTTATTAATGAAACATTAAAATGATTAGTTTAATCCATCAACACATTAAATTCAAAATTATATTTTCATACTAAAATAACTAATATCCTGAATAATACATAAAATTCATAACAGCAACAATAAAAGTTCATATTTCAACTTTTAAAAAAATTGTCATAATAAGATATCTCATACAAAATATCAATTAATTTATGACAGTATAAATCCGCAAATATTAAATGAATAGATAGACACTAATTTTAGGTACAAAGTTCTATTAGCTTAATGTATAGGGTGATTTATTTGGGCACTGATTTATGTTGAATTTTTATAAAACTAAATTGGATATGCTTGATAAAGTGTTTTTAAGAGACTATTTCTTTTTATAATAATAATTTAAAAACAAATGTGTATGCATATTTAAATTATTTATAGCAATATATAATATTTCCTTTTATGTATACATCGTATATTTTTATTTTACTTTTAATTATATTTTAAAATTTTAATATTAAAAAAGAAGAATACCCAAGACTTACTTCACACTATAATTATACTGTTTTCCTTTTTACTCGTAAATATGAATTTTGAATAACTAAAAATAAAAAATAATTAAAATATGATCAAAGATAGAAATTATTTAAATGATTTCTCGTATAATTACATGTTTCTTTTAAAAAATGGTTATAATATAAACTAGTATTTTTTTAATTATCATATTATTTGACATTAATTTTTTTTCCTCAAATTCTATAATTTTTTATCGTATGAAAATTATGTCTATGTAACCCTGAAGAGGAGCCATTTCTGAACCCTGAAGAGGTCGTTAGCAACGACTAACATGTTCTTTGCTTCTCTTTCTCGCTCCGAACATAACTTCAAATTTTTTTCGCTTTTTTCACTGTAAGTTTCTTTCCGACACGCTTCGTTTCGCTTGGTATCTTATTTGGTTCGGCTACTAAGTGTATGAAATATGATGGATTCTGAGTAGCATAGTTTCTCATTGCACACCAAGTGTTTGCTTATTTGTCTGAATGGATCGATAGAGAATATACGTTGTGATCGAATGTATAGGTGTCTCTTGTTTGTTGGGGTTTGGCATTCAATAGATTAAAATATTGTCCTTTGGTGAACAAACAAACATATTTATACCTGAATAAGAAAACAGTAAAATATTTTAGGAGGAATAGAAAAGAGAAACAAACACAGAGGCTTTGGGTTGGGTCATTGTGGGTGTTTTAATTTCAGGCACATCCCTGTTTTGCGTTTTCATCTTCATCCCTCTCTTTCGATCTCTCTCTCTACTACTACTACTAAACTACTTGATATCGATTGTAGCTCCTTCGTTGCTTGTGGTGTGGGTTAGATTATTAATTGATCTTCCAATTTGTTAGTTGAGGAACTCATGAACCTTAATTTGATGAATTGCAGTAGAATTTGCAGGTTCTCGTTTCCAAGACGTTGATGATTTGCATCTATAGAAAATGGGTTTTTGTTTAGGTTGTTGAGACGAGGGAGAATGTTTTGGCATGAGTTTCTTTTAGTATTGATGAGGAAAAGCTGCGTTAGCTACCTGCAGAGCTTTTTTCTTGTGCTAATTTTGAGTTTACTTCTACAATATTTTTTAGTGGAATTGGGGTTTCGTTTTTTGAATTGTTTTAGTGGAATTAGGGTTATTTTCCAGTGGAGCGGTATTTTATGGCTTCAGTTTGTGTGCGTACTTCTTAAGTTTCCATATTGTCATGGTTATTCCTTTGCCCATGTTGTACTGTCAAATTTGCTGCTGGATGTGAGAACATAAATTATTTTCATCTATGTTATATTATGTCACTGGTTATGCATTTCAGGGATTTCAAGGCGTATAATTCTCCTCGGCTTTGTTCCTGGAGTCTTGGTGCGTAGCTTTCTTTTTTTCCTCATATTCTCTGTAAAGCAACAACTTTTTGTGTATATTTTATTCAACTGCATGCTTAGATGGTCTATAAATTGTCCTTTTTATTCTTTTGGTGTAGTGTGGGATTGTTTTATGGTCTTATGATCGGCCAAATTAGTTTGTGCTCCTTACATTATTGCAGTCAAATTTGTGATATTCCTCATATGATTACTCAATTTCACAAGTTTTTATCTAAGCTGCAAACCTGATTTCCGTAAAAAACCAATTCTAGTAGGGTTGCATGATCTTTAAGTGTTGAATTCGTAGTATTGGATGATCCCTTTGTGCAACTCACAAGGATATCTTTAGAAGTGATCCATCTGCAAACAACCCTTGGAACTTTATTTTCGTCGTCATTGGGACTCTGCTCTGTTACCTGTAAATCTTTTCAATTTCATGGTGGAAATCAAGTTAGAGAGGCTGCAAAGGTTGAGAAGATAGCAACAGCCTTGGTTGAGGTTGGAGTTGGTTTTAAATAGGAAGGAGAAAATGTGTGATATGGACTTGATTATATGGGATGCTTAAATCCTGCATCAAGTAGGATGAGATATTTGGTGTAGTTAAGTGGTTTGGTTCTGTCCCCCTTGAGATGTTGCTTTCAAGGGTAAGTTTCCTAAGTGCTTGTCAATTGGTATCAAAGCTGGTTGCTAGTGACATGGAAAGCACTACCTGCAAAGGGACGGGACAGAAAGGCTGAGTGATGGGTCATGGAGTGTCAGCCACTGGGATATCAACTCTAGGGACAAAGCTATGGTATTGATTTTGGTACTGTGGGGAGCCTAAGTTGCACATTCAGTAGCATGGGATTTTTGGTAGAGTACTCAAGTGATTTGGTTCTATTGTCTTACTAGCTAGTCCTTAAAGGGAGGGTTCTCCAAGTGCTTATCAGGTGTTCCTCTGAACATGGTTGGAATTTAGTGCCAGAAATGACTAGAAGGATGGAGTTGAAAGGAGGGTACTATCCAAGTCTAGGTGACTCTTAAAAAAGTTGTTTTTACTTGAGATTGAAACTTTAAAATAATTCTTGAGGGCTTAATTGATCCCTCTTATAATCTTCTATTTATAAGAATAAATTGATATAAGAGTACATGATAATTAGGGTAACCCTAAACACAATATAATCATGATAAATAGGGTAACCCTAGACACAATATAATCATGATAAATACGGTAACCCTAGACACAATATAATCATGATAAATAGGGTAACCCTAGACACAATATAATCATGATAAATAGAGTAACTCTTGACACAATATAATGATGATAAATAGGGTAAATATCTTATTTGGTTCGGCTACTAAGTGTATTAAATATGATGGATACTGAGTAGCATCGTTTCTCATGACACACCTAGTGTTTAGTTATTTGTCTCAGTGGCGCTATATAGAATATATGTTGTGATGGAATGTATACGTGTCTCTTGTTTGTTGAGGTTTGGCATTCAATAGAATTTTGGGATATTTGTGAGGTCATGGTTCCTTGTCTTGGGATGCTGAAACTGAGTAGGGAGTTGGGAGTTTCTATTTTGTGGTTTGAATTCTAGTATTGGTTCTGTTTAGGTGAGAACTATGTTGCACGGGTATGGGGATTGGGCGGTGGTATGCTGTAATTCTGAAATTGTTGATTCCATTTAAAGTTGTTGTCCTTTCCTTAAGAGGTGTGTGATAAGAGGGAAGCTTTTAGTTTCACAGGAATTTCAAGTTGGGAATGTTTGGTTTATTTTTTGAAAAAATAACAGCTAAATATTTGAGGAGGGATAGAATAGGGATCCGAGGAGAAACAGTGGCTTTGAGTTGTTTGTTAATACTGTTGGTTTTCACTTTCCTCTTGTGATTATTAGCTTCAAAGATGGTGTCTCGTTTTGGTTTTGATAGATTGGTTAAAGGCTCGGAGTAGTCATAGGACCACTTAGTAACTAGATTGGTTTAAGGGGAAAATGGGTATTTTTTATTTTATTTTCTGCGTGTTGTGTGACAAGTCGTGACTTTGTATTTTGGTCACCAGGTGTTTGATAAAATGTTTGACTGTCACGTACAATACATTATTGCTTTGGTACGAAGAAAGTTAGTTGTCGATGTGAATTCCAGTGTGGTTGGTTTGTTTTTGTTGATAGTGTTTTTTTTGTCAGGGTAAAATGTTTAGGTGTTTGGGTAGATATATGAATATATTGCGGACATGGTCTTAACTCTTAAGCTTTTATCTTTTCTTCTCAAAGTAATTAAATACCCATGAAAAAGTGCATCTGTTATTAGAGTTTACACATACCGTGGTTAGAGAGCTTCATAAACTTGTCTCGTACACTAGAATTGTAAACTTGTAAGAGTTTACTTGTATAAAACTGTATTAAAATATCTGTCAATAATATAATAATTTAATATTATATTAAAATATTTGTACTATATTATGCTATAAATAATTTTCGTATTTTTTTACTGTTTTTCTGTTATCAGTTGATCATATTATTTAATAGTTCTTTTTTATTTTTCTAATATTATTATACTTGTATCATTACACTTGAGTTGATCTATTATATGTATTATGTTTTGCATAAAAGAATGTTGTTGGACTTAAAGTGAGCCCCAACAATCCAAATGTCAAGAAGAGAAGCGTAAAAGCACGCATAAACTCTAATATAACTCAACTCACGAATTTGTAGCCCAATCTTTGAGGAGGACAGACAAGAGATAGGATACAGGAGTGCAGCGAGAGCTCAGAAATCCAAGACTAATCAAAGTAGAACGTCGAAACTTAAAACGACCTTAGAAAGACACCAATGCAATCCAGTGTTCAATAGGCTATAGCAAGCTTCAACTAGTTAGGAGGGGATATAGGGTTCCGGGAAACATGTTGAAACAAATAATTGGCAGGACATGCAGAACCAGTGCTTATGCTTTTGAAGGAAACAGAGTTTTGCCTTGGATATATCTGCCTTCGTGCTTGTTCCACAATGGACGGGTAAAGTCTCTTATATTACCTTTCAAAGCATAATTTAAATTATTTTTTCAATATATTTCTGTAGAATTTCCTATTTGTCTGTTTAATAAATAGTAGAATTTGGTTGAATCTTGATTTAAGTTTCCGACTTTGGGGGCAACTTCATTGCTTTATAAAGAATAAGACTTTGAGTAAAACATATGCGAGAAAACCGTTCAAATATGTGTTGAAAACAAATGATAATGAACACTTCAGTTTCATTTTGTTTCAAGTAATATGGTGTGCTGGGCATGACTGCCTCTAATTGAAATTATTCCTTTCATTGATAAATTAGATTATCAGATGCTAAGCTTCAAACAAAGTATGAAATCCTGAAGCTTCTAAAATTTTATAGGGTTAAGTTGGCCTGTGATAATAAAATAATTTCTTTAGCTTTTGCATATAGTTAGGAATGAACCTAAGTTTAATAGAAGAAATAAAGTTTGGAAGGTCTATGATAGACCTAAGGGTAAACAGGGTGGATTGTATATGAAAGGAGAAATAGGAAGGCGAGTTAGAGGGGTTAGTCAGTTAAGGGAGCTGAGGAGGTATTAGTATAAATAGGAGTTGGGTAGTTGGGAGGTGTATATTATTGTTTTGACAGTTAGTTGGTTAACAGGTTAAGTCCTGTGGAGGAGGGTTAAGCCTCTTGTATCACTGATGCATATACAATTCTTTGTGAATAAGATACGATACTATTCTTTTCTCTTCTGTTTTTCCCTATTGCTTGTGTGAGAAGAGTTCCTGATTAGGTTCCCAAATCAGGAACCTAACAATTGGTTCGACCTGCCGAATCTACTAGAAGTGAGCGATGACGTTCGAAGGAAATGGAAGGAAGAGTGGTGAATGTTGAGGGGCAAATTGAAGCGGTGGAGGTCGCGATAGCAGAAACGAAAGCGGAGACAATGTTCTTGCGGCATGAAACGGGAACGCTGAGGCAAAACTGCGAGGTGATGCGCCAAGATATTCAAGCAATCTTGACGATCTTAAGGGATCGCAAGAACGACAATAGGGGCCAGCGTCGGGATGGCAGTGAATCGTCTGTAAACGATAACGAAGGAGGGCCAGGAGGCGATGGAGGACAAACAGGAGTAGGACGAACGGGGACGATGCCCAATTGACGGAAGCGGGTGGAGCTTCCTGTGTTCGAAGGGGGCGAACCCTGGAATTGGATTAGTCGGGCAGAGAAGTTTTTCGAGGTGCAGAAGGTGGAAGAGGAGGAGAAGTTGCAACTGGCGTTCATTTGTATGGAAGGGTACGCCGGAAGCTGGTTCCGATTCTGGCGGGAGAAAACCAAGAACTATTCTTGGGAAGGGTTGAAGCGAGCTTTGGGAATTCGATTTGGAGGAGGAACGAGGGGAATTTTGTATGAGAAACTATCGGCGATCAAGCAGATAGGAGCAGTGGAAGACTATATCAGGGATTTCGAGGTGCCAGTGGGTCAGACGACTCAGATTCCGGAGGAGCAAATCCTTGGATACTTTATGGCGGGACTCAGGGAGGAGGTGGGCGACCACGTGAGGCCGCATGATCCCCCAGATCTCATGACGACGATGCGGATCGCGAGGGACCTAGAAAAACTGTGTACACCGTTAAAGACGGGAGGAGGATCGGGTTTCAAAATTCAGAATTCGTGGGGACGATCTACGAGCGTCGTCACTCGAGTTGATCCAACGAGGGACTCGCAGAACCGAGGAGGGGGGAGGGCTGTTGAGAGTGTCGGGTCTGTGAGGAGAGAGACGACCCCAGGAAGCGATGCCGCCAGAACCACCGGCGAAGGAAGAGAACGGGGTCCGCGTAACTTGCCGTATTCGGAGTACTTGAAAAGGAGGGAGGAGGGAAAATGCTTCCGATGCGGAGGTCCGTTCAGCCCGTGCCATCGATGCCCAGAACGAGGACTTCGAATGTTGATTATGGTGGATGAAGAGGAGGAAGAAGGAGGCGAAATAGAGACAGAAGTGGATATCGCCGGGATGGAATTATCGGCCCTGTCGGCGGGGGGCCTGACTACTTCCAGAACAATGAAATTAAAGGGACGAATAGGAGAACGAGAGGTGCTTGTTCTGATTGACAGTGGCGCGAGCCACAACTTTATTAGCCGATGTTTGGTGGCGGAACTGGGTATGGCAGTAAGGGAGACCCAACCTTATTTCGTCAGTTTGGGGGACGGTCAGAAGAAAAAGATTAGCGGGTGTTGTCAGCAAGTAGTTTTGGAGCTGGGGGGCACCGAAATTGTAGAACAATTTTACCTTTTTGAGCTTGGGGGAGTGGAAATAATACTAGGCATTGAATGGTTGAAGAAGCTGGGGGAAGTGACTGTAGATTGGGGAAAACTTACGATGGTATATCGGCAAGGAGAGAAGAAGATAACTGTGAGAGGGGATCCCAAGTTGGAACGAAAGGTGGTGGGACCCAAGGCTTTATTAAAAATAAACAATGCAGAAGCTTGGATGATGGTCTGGGAATTGGGCTCCATTGAGGCCCATAATAGCGGCCAGAAGTATGTGGGCCTTACAGAAAAGCAGAAGGATGAAATGGAGCAGCTTCTAGACCAATATGACGTGGTGTTTGCTGAGCCCACCAGCTTGCCACCTAACAGAAGCATGCAACATCGGATAACACTTAAAGAAGGAAGTGACCCCGTCAACGTCAGACCCTATCGGTACCCGCACGTGATGAAGACCGAGATAGAGCAGCAGATCGCCGAGATGCTCCAGACGGGGGTGGTCCGACCAAGTCACAGTCCGTATTCGAGTCCGGTAATTCTGGTGAAGAAAAGAGACGGCAGCTGGCGTTTTTGTATAGACTATCGGGCCCTCAACCGCGCGACTGTGCCAGACAAATTTCCCATTCCCGTCATCGAGGAGTTGCTGGACGAACTGAAAGGAGGGACTTTCTTCTCAAAAATCGATTTGAAGGTCGGATATCATCAAATACGCATGCACGAGGAGGACATTGAGAAGACGACTTTTCGAACACACCAGGGGCACTACGAATTCGCAGTAAT